AGAGGGGAGGGCCCGCGCAGGGGCGATGAGGCCTGGAGGCAGCAGTGTGGTGTGCGGGCAAGGGGGAGGGACGGCGCAGGGGCGATGAGGCTTGGTGAGCGGGCAAGGGGGAGGGACGGCACAGGCGCGATGAGGCATGGAGGCGGCGGCGGCGGCTGGTGGCGGTGATGGGGAGCAGGCGCCGGCGCAGAGGGACGGGGCGGGGAGAGGGACAGGCAGGCAGGCAGCCAGGCAGGCAGGCGGGCAGGCGGGCAGGCCAAGCATGCCCAGCCTGCCAGCTCCAGGGCGCCGCCCGATTTGTTGTTCCACAGCCGCGTGGCCCCACCTGCGCCAGCCGGTAGAGCATGCGCGAGGAGACTGCGGTGGTGTGGGTGCGCAGCAGGTTCTTCTCAGCTTCCACTATCTTCCAGTCGTACCCGTACCCGATGCTGCCGTAGCCGCCGTGCTGCAGGGCGGGGCCGCGCAGCGGGGCAGCCAGGTCGGAGAGGCAGGCGAAGCGCCAGGCGTGGGAGCGGGCAGTACATCGGGCCGCGGGCGGCGGCTGCGGCGTCGGCACGTGGTGTGGGGCTGCTCGACACAGGGCAGCGCAGCGCGAGATGGGATGTCGGGCGGGGCTGGGGTGCACCTGGTGCGTCTGCTTCACGCGTTCCAAGTAGTCCTGGGGAAAGTTGGAGGCGGGCGTGGCTGCGGGCTCTGCATGCAGGCACACCACAGTGCCACGCGTGAGGTGGACAGGCAGGCAGGCGAGCCGCTGCGCTGTGCCTGTTGCTCCAGCACAGCGCTGCGGTCCCCAGCTCGGGCCCGCCAGGTCATGCTCCACGCCCGCCAGGTCAGACTCCATGCCAGGACAGCGCCGCCAGGTCAGCGCCGCCAGGTCAGCACTCACTGGTGAGGAAGAAGGTGTCGTGCGCGTCGCGCGCCGGGTGCTGCTGCGGCTGGAACAGCGCGTCAAAGTTCCAGAAGCTGCTCTCCACGTAGTTGTTGGTGGGCATCTCCTCAAACCCCATCTGCGTGAAGATCCGGCGGAACTGCGTGCGCACCTGCAGGGCAGCGGGCGCGGGAGTGGGGGTAGTGGGGAGGGCGCCACTTACGGCACTCGAACCACAGGCGGTGCGCGGGC